GTATTGATGCATGCTTGAAGTTTGACGACAACATTCTATGTGATTCCATTCATTTTTTACATATTGACCCATGTGCATGTAAATCTCAGCCCTCCAACCATTCTAAATACAAACTCATCCCATCTCGTATATCTGCCTACAGAAACTCTGGTATTCTATCTTTCTCGGACACTGGCCGAAAAGGAGCGTGTTCGTTCTTAGCTTTTAGTAGTTTAAATTAACATTTTGCACGCACGATATCACACTTTTCCTCCTTTCTTCCAGTACTGTGATGGTGTTTTTTTGGTTGAAGGCTTGTACATAACTTTATAAAGCTTCGATACAATTCACTACACTCACTTGTTTGAATCATCGTTTCTGTCCACACACTCTTCATCTTCCGAATGCGCCTCAGGAGTCCCACAGGGAGTGAGGAATAATTCCATTTCGTCGCCCTGATCGGCGGATCGTGAAAACTGCATATGAATAATCAAGATGCTTATCAGTCGCGAGGTTTAAATTTTATTTAAATTATAAAAAGCATAGTATCGAAGTAAAACCGTGAAAATGGCACTCAGTTAAGGCAACACCAAACGAACAAGAAATAAATCAAAGAGGATAAATTGACGATGATTAGCGGCGCAGGAGTCAAGCACTGTTAACGCCCTGTAGCTAATGTTTGTTTCCCACGGACAGAAATAATCGAAACGTTCTGTTTCGCACATCTTCAGCCGAAACTGACCTGGTAGATTGGATACCTAGTAGTTTGAAGTTGATTACTGCAGCTAAGATCCATGCAATCTAGGCAGGAAAGTACTAGGTGACATAGCTGAGTTATGTGCATCCTGAGGCTCTTCGAAATTCTCCTGAAGTCCATGTTTTTAAAACCTCATATTGAGCTTCTAGTCTACGACATTACCAATCGTTTCGTTTTCTGAATCGAGTGCAGCATATCGTAACCACAACCAAAGGGTAGGATTGGTTCTGGTCAGAAAAGAAGTGAACTCAATCTCTGTATTTATAGTCCTCAAAAAGAGATCATTCAACTGTAGCGCCTAAACAACTATCTCATGTTGTTAATTTGTCCTAGGCATTCTGTGAGCCGACCCCCAGTCACATCGTGTCTGTTATGAGCTGAAGCATGACGTTTATCGGGCTCGCATTTTGAACGATGTGCTCTTCGAATACATCACATACGATCACGATAATTACGCAACTTACGCTGAACGTCGATTCTGAAGTGTGCATCATTTCGATGCTTGGTTTTACAGGTGGTGGAGGCCAATTGGTCACCCTCAAGTGTCCGAAGTCACACAATAAACCAACAAGGTTGCTGGTGTCCGTCAAGTTCGGACATTCCGGATTTGCCGGTAACAATAGCCGCGGGGCCGCGATATCCAAATTGATGCGCCAACGACGTGGACGGGGGCGGTTAGTGACTGACTGAGATCGAGGTGATTGGCTGTTGGACTGGCCAGTAGAAACGAGCGGAGAGGGACAGGGAGAGACGGCGGAGTCGACAGTGGGAGCTTCATTTGGTTCAATGGTGGATGTCTGCAAGGATATCGTGGTGTCATCAAACATTGCACGTATGTTCGCCTGAGTACGTTCTTTGATCACTTGGTACTGATGACGAGCAGAGGCTAAGAGAAGCCGCAGCGAACAACAACAGAACAAATTTATGAAGGAACTGTGAAGCGTAAATGATGCATTGGGTAAAACATCAGTGGTTAAAACATTGGATAACATCGGTTGCTGGAGTACACCGGTATTATTGTATCTATTCCCGCCATGCATACAAATCGCCCTTATCCCTCCTCACCCCCACCGCTTTTTACGTTCGTATCATCATACCACTCTTAGTCTATCGTCTAAATTCAACACTTTCTTGATCAATCGAACAAACGGACAACCGACAGACGATAATTAAATCAGAACGGAATCGCACAGTTGATAACCGGATAAACTGAAGCAGAAGAAGAACAACAAAAACAACAGTGGAAGTCATTCAATCACAACGCTCGATATTTCATCCGCCGGTATGCAAAGACCGCTTTAGCTTATCAAATGTCTGGAAAAATAGACTGAGCGGGACACAACAAAAAATCAGATGAGTAGAAGGGCAAGTGAGACAGAGTACAACAGCATTTACTTGAAAGGTTTTTACATTATTGTTGGGTTGATTCAGACATAAACAACAGCAACCATGGACCCGCGATTAAATTACAAGTCATTTTCCAGCGAATGCCAGCAAAGTACAGAAAAAACGGGATTCTGTGGTGTTGTTCAACAACCATACAGCCATGTTAGTCCATCGGAAACGTAAATCAACTGTCTATTATCAAATTTGTAGATGAGGAATGCCAGACTTGAACTGAACTACTTGTATATGGTAAGTAACGCTGTTGTATGCAGTGGAGAAACTGCGCGAAAGACACCGGGAACTCACTTTCGAGGTTTGGAGATGCGGCTGAGGCCACGGTTCGAAAGAAATTGAGCACACATTGTAGCAAATCCAACTGATAGACCACATGTAACGGGTCGGTCTTGATTTCAAGGCTGCATCGTGTGTATTGTTTGATTTCAAGCGTGGGGGTGGGTGAAACAGAGAATATCTATCAGCTACGTAGAGCGATCAGTGTTAGCAGTACTAATAAAGGAAAAGTGAGAATCAATAGGAAACAAAACATCGTACCATCAAACAAAGCCGTGGCAGCTCTTGATGTGAGGAAAACAGTGGTAGTACACTAAGCGGTAACACCACCACCAAATATAGTGAGATGGTGCTCGAAATGAGAAATCCAAGACGTCGGCATAGGTACTGAGACATTCATTCAGATGTGCGCATCACAAGTATGCCCCTAGGCACACGTATTACTGTGTAATGAACAAAAGAGGTAAACCTAGTCACGAGAACCTCCTTGGTGGCAGTGACGCAGTGGTTTAGTCGCTGTCATCGGCGTGCTTTGGACCCTGTGGTCCGAAGTTTGAGCCCCGCCACCATCACCCAACTTGGTGGTAGACGGCTCTGCTGTCGCCCGGTTCTATACCACTCCTGACCTAGAGCGACCGTATGAGGTTCGCCACCCAAAGCCCCAAAGGCTTAGGTCGCCGGTTTCTATCACCGAACAGGTGACTATGGGGTCCAAACAGTCTGCTATTCACCACAATACAAATATTGGGTTGGGCGAGGTACTGCAGGAGACGACAGTGAAGCTGTCTGTTGATCGATTAGCACTAAACACTACGCATCTGCTTTGACTTGCTTGCAGCAATATCAACCAGCGCAAGTGTGCGGGTGAGGTGTAGGAAAATTCATCTGAGTAGAAATTGGACGTGCTCAATATTCGCCGGCTGACAAGCAACAGGCCAATCAAAAGAAAATTACACGAAAACACATGGCACTGAGGCGTATTCCAAGTGCGGATCCTAGTGAGATACAATGCGACTTTACCAGAGATTACGATTACGGTCAATGCCCAAAACCCAACGATTTGTCAATCAGCAAGGCAATCAAAATGAATGAACTCACCTATACTCAAAGTCAACACCAACGGGAGCTACTTCATACACAAGCCAGAACAGACTGGCAGAGGGTGAATTAGGATCACATGCAGATGGATGAAACGGGCCGGATAATGTGCGGTGAAATGCTTTCTGTCGGGGTGTGGGCAGAGATAAGTGGGGGAAAATAACCGATCGANTCATCGCAAACTGTGAACGATTCGATTCCGGCAGCAAAACGCGCTGTTCGTTCCCATGGACGCATCTCTAAGGTGAACTGCATCCGTTGTCCGGAGATGGAGATAAAGGCGGGATGCTGTGCACAAACAGTTAGGTGGATATCATAGGTTCTGTTGCAGAAAACTGCATGTTTATCACTCAGCGTAAAAACATTCATGGCAGTTTATTTAGTTTCAAAAACCAACCCCAGTTTCGATCATGTGAAAACTAGACCAAGGTTGTATTTTTAACTTTAACTCGTGTATCAGGATAGAAAATCTTTCATGAAGTAGAGACTATCACGGGGATCACTATCACAGATTTCTGTTAGGATCCTGTATGAATTGCGACGTGAAGTCCCAAAGCAAAAGCCATTAATTTTACAAACCCATTCGTGAAATTACTATCTAACCTTTTCAATCGGTAGACTAGCTACTCACAAGTAGCATGAGCACATGGGAAAACGACTTCATTACCATCAACAGAAAACTAGGATGTCCTATGGGCAGATCGATGCATTGTTGCAAGGCAAAACAAATGAACGAAAAAACATATCTCATTGGTCACGTCTACCATTAACATCAGAAAAACATTACAGAAAAATTAACAACACTTACCACAAAGCCATCGGACAAGATGGGGAATGGGGGCGTAACATCTGTCAAACGAATACTGCATCCCTCCACATGGCAGACCAACTGAAAGGAAGCAACTGTTGTGGGAGTAGTAGGACCCGGTTCTGATCGATCTGTATCAAATCGCTCGGACGCCATGGCCAATTCGTCTAGAAGTTCCAATATGGCATCTTTTACCGTAGGGACAGATTCTAAAGAAGTTGTCACGTCTGAGCTCATCTGGGCAGGCGTAGCCACAGTTGTAAAGGATGGGATGGAGCCGCCATTTCCTCCATTAGAACCGGACCACCAGGAAGATTTCCCCCCAAGCCAATACGAATAACGCCACCATGCGTACCAGGACATGGTACTGGCCGGTGATGCAACATTATGCTCAGATTCGGAAAGAACAGTTGTATCACTGGACTCTATTTGACTGGATGTTCGCGAGCGACTAGCCCTCTGGAACATACAAACAAATAAGTAAAACCAGAATTTGACTTGATCCAGGTACCCAATTAATCACTTTTACCAAACCTGATTAAGCAGGAATCACCGCGAAAACATGAATACAGTGTAAACTAAATTATGAAAAAAATGGAACAAAGATTATATCTCATACAAAAGTGGTCTTACTCATGAATGACTAAGTGTTTGTTGTTTACACAATAATGAATCTTGCTCTCGATATTTGGGGACCCAACACAGCAAAACCCAGTGGTTCTCAGTTATCAAACTTCAACTGAAATGCGTGGCTGCTGTGTGCTAGTGAGGCCCTAGAAGAAAAATCTGGTTTATCTAAGTCTGTTTCGCCAGACAATCGCCAATGATTTTCAACCTGCAGATAATGGGTTTCACAGCGTGGAATAACATTTGATCGAAAGTATTCAACATTGGCGGTAGGTGACTTTTTTGTCGTCTCTTTCAATACCACACCTAAACAAACGGGGCTTAGGTTGTCGATATCCATCCCTAAACAGCAGGTCTTCGTGTCTGCTGTTTACAACATGTGTAATAAAAAATATGAGTGAACTGTGGAGAACATGGTTAAGGACTATTTAGAGACACAGAGGACTTTCTTGAGCGGTACAGAGAAGTCCCTGTATACAACTGATTACTAATTCCTGTTTTGTACTTTTTCCGTTTACTCGTTTCTCATTGCCCGATCAACTAGGTATTCAAAAGGCTGCAACCGAAACCACCACAAGAAAATGAAGAACCCACGGTTGTAAAAACTAAAAGTGACATTGACTGCTATCAAAACAAGGTCTAAACATCTTCAGACAGAAAACACTCAAACCCATAACACCAGAGAACAACGGGTTTGGAGGGTCACGACAGTATCCGTCAATGTATTCGTATGCATTAACAGACACTAAATTAACTCTTCCAATCCTATGCCCTGAAGAAAGGATTAAATCAGCTGAAAATAGGGAACTGTACTGTGAAGTGGTTACTTGCTTGACTTATCAGTTCTCTAGATTCCTTTACCACAAATGGCTAAGACCACTTAGTCATGCTTTGCATCAGACCATTGACAAATTGTCACTCCGATCATAAAAATATAACGCAGTCTGTAGTGGGACTCACACGACAGGATCAATGCAGCATATTCAGAACAGTTAGGTCCCAGAGCTACCCAAGCAGCATAGCTG